GCTGAGGCTTTGGTATTTTTCTTGATGATTTTTATAAGTTTTAAAGAAAAAAAAAGGGGGGGCCGGGCGCAGTGGCTCACGCCTGTAATCCCAGCACTTTGGGAGGCCGAGGTAGACGGATCATGAGGTCAGGAGATTGAGACCATCTCGGCTGACACGGTGAAACCCCGTCTCTACTAAAAATACAAAAAACTAGCCGGGCGAGGTGGCGGGCGCCTGTAGTCCCAGCTACTCGGGAGAACCTGGGAGGCGGAGCTTGCAGTGAGTCGAGGTCATGCCACTCTCAAAAAAAAGAAAAAAAGAAAAAAAGGTTGCCCCTTTGGCCACCACTTCCCTTGATTTGCTGCTGTTCTTTCAATTTTGGCTACAGTGGTTTTTCTTTTCTTTCTCTCCTTTTTTTTTTTTTTTTTTTGAGTTAGAGACTTGCTTTGTTGCCCAGGCTGGAGTTCAGTGGTGCCGTCAAGGCTCACTGCAACCTCCACCTCCCGGGTTCAAGCGATTCTCCTGCCTCAGCCTCCCAAGTAGTTGGGAATACTACCACGCCTGGCTACTTTTTTTTTTTTTTTAGACAGTCTCACACTGTTGACCGGGCTGGAGTGCAGTGGCACAATCTTGGCTCACTGCAACCTCCGCCTCCCGGGTTCAAGCGATTCTCCTGCCTCAGCCTCCCGAGTAGCTAGCTGAGATTACAGGCACCCACCACCACACTTGGCTTATTTTTTGTATTTTTTAGCAGAGACAGGGTTTCACTATGTTGGCCAGGCTGGTCTCGATCTCCTGACCTTGTGATCTGCCCACCTCGGCCTCCTAAAGTGCTGGGCTTACTAGTGTGAGTCACGTGCCTGGCCAGTAGCCTGGCTACTTTTTTGTATTTTTAGTAGAAACAGGGTTTCACCATAATGGCCAGGCTGGTCTCGAACTTCTGACCTCAGGTGATCTGCCTACCTCAGCCTCCCAAAGTGCTGGGATTACAGGCGTGAGCCACTGCACCCGGCCTTCTTTTTCTTGTTTTAGAGACAAGGTCTTGCTCCATCACCCAGGCTGGAGTGCAGTGATGCGATCTTGGCTTACTGCAGCCTCCTCCTCGATTCAAGCAATTCTTGTGCTTCAGCCTTCCCAGTAGCTAGGACTATGGGCGTGTGCCACCACACCCAGCTAATTTTTATAATTTTAGTAGAGTCAGGTTTCACTGTGTTGGCCAGGCAGGTCTCGAACTTCTGGCCTCATGTGATCTGCCCACCTCCGCCTCCCAAAGTGCTGGGATTACAGGTGTGAGCCACCACGCCCAGCCTGTGCTAGACTTTTATATGACTGGCAGTGCAGTAAGTTTGCTTACATCAGCATCACCACAAACACTAGGCAATAGAAATTTTTCAGCTTCGTTATAATTTTGTGGAACCAGGGACCACCATCATATATGCAGTCCATCGCCGACCAAAACATTGTCCTGTGCTACATGACGGTATTTACTATCTGGCTCTTTACAGGAACACTTTCCCCACCCCAGGCCTGAGACTGGACTGTGCTTGTAGGGTTTGTATGCCCTTGGGGCTGTGAGTGATAATTATATGTGGAACTTGAAGGAATATTTTTTAATTTTAATAGTTCTATATTTATTTTTATAGATATAGGAAAATGTGGCCGGGTGTGGTGGCTCACGCCTGTAATCCCAGCACTTTCGGAGGCCGGGGGATCACTTGAGGTCAGGAGTTTGAGACTAGCCTGGCCTACATGGCAAAACTCTGTCTCTACTAAAAATACAAAAATTAGCTGGGCATGGTGGCACGCGCCTGTAATCCCAGCAACTCAGGAGGCCAAGGCAAGAGAATCGCTTGAACCCAGCAGGTGGAGGTTGCAGTGAGCCAAGATTGAGCCACTGCACTCCAGCCTGGGCAACAAGAGTGAGACTCCGTCTCAAAAAAAAAAAAAAAGAAGAAGAAAATTTATGATCCAACAGCTATTATTGCTTAGGACAAGGCTTAGTGCAAAAGTGTGCAAGTTCAAGAAGTCTTAAGTGGGCCAGGCATGGTGGCTCACACCTGTAATCCCAGCACTTTGGGAGGCCAAGGTGGGTGGATTGCCTGAGGTCAGGAGTTCAAGACCAGCCTGGCCAGCATGGTGAAACCTCATCTCTACTAAAAATACAAAAAATGGCCGGGTACGGTGGCTCACGCCTGTAATACCTGCACTGGGAAGTTGAGGCAGGTGGATCACCTGAGGTCAGGAGTTCGAGACCAGCCTGGCCAACATGGTGAAATCCTATCTACTAAAAATACAAAAAATTAGCTGGGCATGGTGGCACGCGCCTGTAATCCCAGCAACTCAGGAGGCCAAGGCAAGAGAATCGCTTGAACCCAGCAGGTGGAGGTTGCAGTGAGCCAAGATTGAGCCACTGCACTCCAGCCTGGGCAACAACAGTGAGACTCCATCTCAAAAAAAAAAAAAAAAGAAATTTTCAGTGGTGTAGGATGATGACAATCTAACAAAAATGAAGAGGGAGCAGGGCAGGGGAATGGCTGTGACTTGGGAGCCCTGGGTTGTGGTCAGTCCTTGGTGCTGGGGTGTGGCAGGGCCACAGAGACCCCAGTGCCTCCTGACGGTGCCCCTCTCTCCCAACGCAGCATTTGAAGTGCACCATCATGGGCCTGACCCTCTGGGACCCCAGCTGTCAAGCCGAGGACAGGGGTGACCAGTTTGTCCTGCACAGCACTTACTCCAGCTGTGGCATGGAAGTGACGGCGAATATGATCAGCAATGAGGTAGGAGCTGGGGCCAGGAAGGTATCGGGACCAGCCTGGTTGGTGCTCCCTCAAGTGCCTCCCTGATTCCCCCAAGGCGGAGGTGTGTTTGGGAGAGCAGGGTGCAGAGGCTCAGAACATAAGACAAGCTTGGCCACTGGTTGGCTCAGTCTCCCCATCTGCAAAATGGGTGTATTGGGGTGGGATACCCTCTGGGGTCCTTTCTGGCTCTGACCAGCTCCCTGGCTTTGTCCTCGCAGGTGGTGGTCAATATCCTGTCGAGCTCATCACCACAGCGGGTAAGATGGACAGTCACGTGCTAACCCACCTGGCCCAGGGGCTGCTGCTGGGCCGGGGCCTCTTCCTGGCTTGGGAGGGAGTAGGCTTCAGGAAACTCCTGGCAAGCCATGTGTCTGGCATGCCTCGGTCTCCCCTTCCGTATGAGCGGAGCAGGACTGCTGAGGGTGACACTCTCAGTCTCTCAAGTCAGAGGTCTTAGCACATACTGGCTGTGTGGCCTTGGGCAAGTCACTTTAGTTTTCTGGGCCCAAAGGTGGCCTAAGAAAGGACTCTGCGCCACAGGGTGCCTCTGGGCAGCCAGTGAGGTGGCGTGTGGAAGCTCTTCACACAGCCTGGCACCTGGTGCCTCCTTGATAAATATTAGTTTTAAAAAAAAGGGCCGGGCGCGGTGGCTCAAGCCTGTAATCCCAGCATTTTGGGAGGCCGAAACGGGTGGTTCACGAGGTCAGGAGATCGAGACCATCCTGGCTAACACGGTGAAACCCCGTCTCTACTAAAAAGTACAAAAAACTAGCCAGGCGAGGTGGTGGGTGCCTGTAGTCCCAGCTACTCAGGAGGCTGAGGCAGGAGAATGGCGTGAACCTGGGAGGCGGAGCTTGCAGTGAGCTGAGATCCCGCCACTGCACTCCAGCCTGGACCACAGAGCGAGACTCCGTCTCAAAAAAAAAAAAAAAGGATGAGAGAGTCAGGCAACTCCACAGGGCCATGACGTCTGTTCCTCCCCACACCCCTCGCCCTCCTGGCTGGTGCCGCTGGACTGACCAAGTCTCCCTCCTGTCCTCCCCCAGAAAAAGGTGCACTGCCTCAACATGGACAGCCTCTCTTTCCAGCTGGGCCTCTACCTCAGCCCACACTTCCTCCAGGCCTCCAACACCATCGAGCCGGGGCAGCAGAGCTTTGTGCAGGTACCTGGCATGCCTGTCACCCCTCGGGCCTCCCAGCTCCTGCAGCTTCCTCTCCGCCTTTCTTCCCACCATGACTCCAGAGGAGATGAGAATCCCAGAGTCAGGAGGGAGACGGCCTGGGTGCGTGGGAGAGGGAGAGAGAGAAGGCATTGCTCAGGGATGCTGACAAGGATGTGGCCTTGTCCTCCTCTGACCCAGACAGGTCCATGCCTTTCCTTCCACCGTGAGGACTCAGGGGTGGGAACTCTTCATTCTAGCCGATATTTCAAGGCAGCAGGTGGGGTGGGGTGAAGAGCAGCTGCCCATGCCGCGTGGCCCTACCTACCCATGCAGGTCAGAGTGTCCCCATCCATCCCCGAGTTCCTGCTCCAGCTAGACAGCTGCCACCTGGACTTGGGGCCTGAGGGAGGCACCATGGAACTCATCCAGGGCCGGGCGGCCAAGGGCAACTGTGTGAGCCTGCTGTCCCCAAGCCCCGAGGGTAACCCGCGCTTCAGCTTCCTCCTCCACTTCTACACAGTACCCATACCCAAAACCGGCACCCTCAGCTGCACTATAGCCCTGCGTCCCAAGACCGGGTCCCAAGACCAGGTGAGTGGAGCCTGGGCCGGCCCCAGCTTCAAGTGGGAGCTTCCAGGTCTGTGGTTTGCAGGAAAGGACATGGTAGCCCACAGGGATGTGGGGCCAGCTGGTGAGGGGCAGAGCCTTAGTCAGGCATGTCACCTGGCAGTCTGGCTGCCAGCAGCACTTTCTGCCACCCGAGAGCTTTCTGGTGGGATTGCCATGTCTTGGGCACTGGCAGACTATGCAGCTGCCAGCCTATGCAGCTGCAACTGTCCATCTATCCATCATCTATCCTTCCACTTATTCACCCGTCCGTCCATCCATCCATCCACCCTCCCACCCACCTGCCATCCCAGCCAGGCATCCACCATCTTCCCACCATCCCACCATCCCACCCAGGAATCTAGCCACCCACACATCCATGTTGTAGTATGGTCACCAGTGTAATCTCAAAGAGCAGGAGACCCGAGGGAAGAGAGGCAGGCAAAGGACACACACTCCTGGCTTTCTGTATTTGCCAGTCACAACACTTCACCATCTGGTGACCCCCACTCTCCGGCAATCTGTCCTGGATGCCCCCAGAGTCACCCCCAGGCCCTTACACAGACAGGCCTCCAGGATTACAAACTTCTCTGGTCATATGAAGCTAGGGAAGCCTTCGAGGCTCACCTAAGTGGGCCTCTCCCTCCAGCCACAGTGAGCCTGGGGCCCTGGGCTGACCTGGCTCATAGCTCCAAAGTGTTCACGAGGGTGAGGGATGCATAGTGCTCCCACAGTGTTCCTGCGGTGCTCCCAGGCATCGAGGCCTCCAGGAACTCACAGGAAACATGTCAGCAGCAGCCAGGGATTGTCCATCAGGCACCCTCCCACAGCACAGATCTTCCAGGACTCACCCAGAGGCATCCAGCTACGAAGCGGTGGAGATGGGATTCTAAACCAAGGCTCTAGAGTGGGCTGGGGTCACAGAGCCAGGGAGTAAACCTGGAAGCCGCCTCCCAAAGGCTGTGCCACATACTGCTCTCTCTTCCTCCTCCAGGAAGTCCGTAGGACTGTCTTCACGCGCTTGAACGTCATCAGCCCTGACCTGTCTGGTGAGCTCCCTCCAGGTGTCTCGGGTTTGTTCTAGTGGCTGAGGTCACAGTAGGACACAGCGGGCAGCCCTGAGAAACGGCCTGGGCACATAGCACATAGCACATGGCAAGGGGGATCCCAGAGAAAGCGGCCCAGAAGGGGCAGGAGGAGGGCTTCCCAGAGTCACAGCAGCAGCCTAGAACAGGGGCCAGAGCCTGCACTTTGCAGATGGAGAGCCCTTGCCCGGGACCATCCTGTGGCGTGGGAGTCTAGGCCTCTGCCCCTACTCATGGCTCCACTCCATCCCCACCGTTGCTGGGAGGATGGAGCCTCCTGGGTGGGACAGAGGCCCTTTGGGGTGGGGGTGCTGGCCTTGCCTTCCTTGAGGCCTCTCCCTGCAGGATGCTCCCTCTAGCCTCTCCATCAGTTCACCCCAGGCCCATACTAGGCAGAAGAGTCCCGACACTGGCGGCAGAGGCAGGGGTGAGGGATGGGGGCACCTACCTCTCTGCCACCACATCCAGGTCAGGATGGAGCCTCCACTCCCAGCCCAGGACCAAGAAGGCAGGGCTGATAACCCCATGACACAGAATTGGACATCAGAGGCTCAAGGGAAGACTGCCTGGCCTGTAGTCACACAGAAGTCAGGAATGTGGAGGGAATGAGGCTTGGAGCAATCAAAGAGCAGAGCTGCAGGGTGCTTGGAGCTGCTCTGACCCGTTGTCTACCTGCTAAAGGCTTCGGAGAGGGGCAGGGCTGACCTAAGGTCACGCAGCAGGTGGGGCAGGCTCTGCACGCCTGAGCCTCAGTTTCCTCATATTACCCCATCCATCCTCCCTGAAAACACATCTCATCAGCCTTGAGGGGCAGAGGCATGACCCAAAAGGCCTGGCTGGGCCCTCTAGGTGGATAATTCTAGCAACCATGGCTCAATGCCAGGCCCGGCTGTGATGAGCCCGTTTGCTACAAGAGGAGACTGAGGTTCAGAGAAGTCAAGGGTCAGCAGGGCTGGCACCAAAGCCCACACAGGCCAGCACAACAGGGTAGGGGATGGGGCAGGGGCAGAGGCGGCAGTGCTGATGGCGCCGGCCCTCTCTAGGTTGCACAAGCAAAGGCCTCGTCCTGCCCGCCGTGCTGGGCATCACCTTTGGTGCCTTCCTCATCGGGGCCCTGCTCACCGCCGCACTCTGGTACATCTACTCGCACACGCGTGAGTACCCCAGGCCCCCACAGTGAGCATGCCGGGCCCCTCCACCCACCCGGGGGAGCCCAGTGAAGCCTCTGAGGGATTGAGGAGCCCTGGCCGGGACCCTGACCTCCGCCCCTGCTCCCAGGTTCCCCCGGCAAGCGGGAGCCCGTGGTGGCAGTGGCTGCCCCGGCCTCCTCAGAGAGCAGCAGCACCAACCACAGCATCGGGAGCACCCAGAGCACCCCCTGCTCCACCAGCAGCATGGCGTAGCCCCGGCCCCCCGCGCTTGCCCAGCAGGAGAGACTGAGCAGCCGCCAGCCGGGAGCACCGCTGTGAACTCACCCTGGGAGCCAGTCCTCCACTCGACCCAGGATGGAGCCTGCTCTCTGTGCCCGCCCTTCCCACCTCCCTCTCAGACGCCTGCTGCCAGTGGGGCCAATGCCTTGGAACACCTTGGGGTCCCTCCACCCCACCCCACAGAACCTTCAACCCAGTGGGTCTGGGATACGGCTGCCCAGGGCTGCGGAGAGAGACCATTTGCCACACTGTTGTAAAACCCCAAGCCCCTGTCATTTGAACCTGGATCCAGCACTGGTGAACTGAGCTGGGCAGGAGGGGAGAACTTGAAGCAGATCCAGGCCAGCCCAGCCAGGCTGACAGCACCTCCCCCTGAGGAACGGAAGAGGGCCCAGCCCAGAGCCACCTGGATCTATCCCTTCGGCCTCCACACCTGGACTTGCCTAACTGGCGGGGGAGACAGGAGCCTAGCAGGGCCCAGCCTGGGAGCCCAGAGGGTGGCAAGAACAGTGGGCGTTGGGAGCCTAGCTCCTGCCACATGGAGCCCCCTCTACCGGTCGGGCAGCCAGCAGAGGGGGAGTAGCCAAGCTGCTTGTCCTGGGCCCGCCCCTGTGTATTCACCACCAATAAATCAGACCATGAAACCAGTGATGGGCTGGGCTGGGAGAAGGGCAGTGACATTCAACGCCAGGGTGGGGTGAGGGCACAGGACAGGGCTGCTCTTGTCCTCGGCCCCCACTGGGCTGGCCTGGTGGCAGGGGCGGCATCCTGAACAGTAGCAGGAGCCAGGGCACAGGTTTTGATTCAGCCAGTTCCCCTCTGCCACTCAGCCCCTCGGCAGCACACCCCAGGGTCTCGGCTGCAAGAAAGCAAACACCAGGAGGCCCCATCCACACTCCCACTCTGGGGTTCTGAACACAGGCCCTTGACTGCTCTGAGTTCAAATCCTGGACCTGCCACTTGTTGGCCTGTGACTGTAGGCAGGTCCCATGGCTTTTTTTTTTCTTTTTGAGACGGAGTCTTACTCTGTCGCCCAGGCTGGAGTACAGTGGCGCTATCTCGGCTCGCTGCAACCTCTGCCTCCCGAGTTCAAGCAATTCTCCTGCCTCAGCCTCCCGAGTAGCTGGGACTATAGGTGTGCGCCACCATGCCCGGCTAATTTTTGTATTTTTAGTAGACAGGGTTTCACCATGTTGGCCAAGATGGTCTCCATCTCTTGACCTCGTGATCCGCCCGCCTCAGCCTCCCAAAGTGCCGGGATTACAGGTGTGAGCCACCGTATCTGGCCCCCATGGCTTCTTGAAGCCAGCCACAGTTCCTTCGTCTGTCAAATGGGTATAATTCTCCATCACCAGGTCTCTGCAAGGGGGTCTGCAGAAAGCACTGCCTGGCATATGGTCAACAGGCGTCAGTCCGGTCTTCTCATCTCATAGTCAGGCCACCTGAGGCACACAGGGAGGGAGGGACTTGTCCCAGGCCACACAGCCAGGCTTCCTCTACACCGCACAGGTCCCTGACCACCAGCAGCCCCTCTCTCCCTGTCTCTGCTGAGGAAGCAGGGGGTCAAGGGTCAGTCGAAGGCTTTGCCATTTCTTTAAAAAACAAAGTTAAAGGCTTTAATTCACTCCAGCCACCCACTGTCCTAGGGTGTCCCAGGCAGAGGCCTTCTCCCTTCCCAGAAGGCACTGGGAGGAGGAAATCTACCACCCAACACATGGCAGGACCCAGGGCCTGGCCAGGCAGTGCACACAATACGCTGGGCCTGAGCCAGGAGGCAGGCAAGGTATGGGGGGGAGACAGGCTGAACGGCCAGGCCACTGCAACAGTGAGAGACCCGGGGAGCCCCTCGCTATCTCGGCCAGGAGGAAGGAGAGACCAAGGCACAGAGCCTTAGAAAAGAGGACATCCTCTCCTGGCCTCCCATCCCAGAGCCCTGCTCCCTCGGCCAGTCTAGACAGAACCAGGAAAGCAGAAAACAAAAGGCACCTAGTATGTAAGTTCATGGGGAGAACGCAGGCAGGTGTGGGAGGCTCCCACCTCCAACCCCGGGCCTCAGTTACTGGGACAGTGCAGGCTCCAGCAGCTTCAGGACACCACCCACCAGGTGCAGGCTGCCAGTGACCAGCACATGGATGGCAGCAGCCTCATGGAGTACGCTGGCCCCACTGTGAGCCACAGGGTGGGTGAGGAGGCCCTTTGGGGGAGTGGGTGGCTGGAAGACAGGGTCTCGGCCTTGGCTGATCCATTGCAAGGCATGTGAAATACAGCTGAAGACGAGGGAGCTGGCGCTGCAGGTGTGGGGTGGGTGGGGCGCCAGCAGTAGGGATGTGGGCCCACCAGGCTCTGGGCTGGGGGCGCTCCAGAGGTCCGGGCTGGCCTGCTCTTCGTCCAGGTGGTTCCAGTGCTGCTGGTGTTCCAGGCAGCGGAGCAGAACCTGGTCCAGTGTCACCGTGAAGTTCTGTTGGTCTGTGGAGCACAGAGACAGGCATGTCAGCGAAGGGGAGAGGGAGCAAGGGACAGGGGTGGAGCAAGGGACAGGGGTGGAGAAAGAGGCTGCTGCACCGTGAGCACCTGTTTAGCACCAAGCCCTTTACATCATCAGGCCAGCAGTCTCGGCTCATGGTCTTCTCCATGGACACAATGAAGAAACTGCAGCTCAGGCAGGTTCAGTGACTTGCCTAAGGTCACGAGAGGCAGAGCCAGACACTCTGGCTCCACAGCTTTTGCTCACTAGGTACCATTTCCCCACCCTGGCCTCATTGTCTCCATCTATAAAATGGAAATCCAGCTGGGGACCATCACCAAGTGGGCATTTCTGGGGCTGCTGGTTAAAAATGCAGATTCCGGCTGGGCGCGGTGGCTCAAGCCTGTAATCCCAGCACTTTGGGAGGCCGAGACGGGTGAATCACGAGGTCAGGAGATCAAGACCATCCTGGCTAACACGGTGAAACCCCGTCTCTACTAAAAAATGATCTCGGCCACGCACTCCACCTGGCGACAGAGGAGACTCCGATCTTCCAAAAAATAAAAATAAAAAAAGATGTTACAGACTCAGCCTGCCAACAATGGTGAAAACCCCATTTCTAAAAAAAAAATAGCCAGGCAGGTGCATTGTGCCATGAATCCCAGCTACTTGGAAGGCCTGGAGGCACAGGCAGTATCGCTTGAACACCGGACAGGAGACTGCAGTGAGCTGAGATCATGCCATTGCACTCCAGCCTGGCGACAGAGGAGACTCACATCTTTTTTTTTTTTGTTTTTTTGTTTGAGACGGAGTCCTCGCTCTTCGCCCCAGGCTGGAGTGCAGTGCT